TTTTTCAAGACAGGGTTTCTCTGTGTAGCCCTGGCTGTCCTGGAACTCACTCTGTAGACCAAGCTAGCCTCGAACTCTCGAACTCAGAAATCCACCTGCCTCTGCCTCCCAAGTGCTGGGATTAAAGGCGTGCGCCACCACCGCCCGGCTAAGATTGTATTTCTAAGGTAAAGATAAAATAGCTAGACAAATAGCTTATTGGTAGAAATTCAAGGTCAGCCTGAGCTACAGCGTGACTGCAGGGCTAGCCTAGATTACTTAGTGAGTTCCTGTCTCACAGTGTAGAAAACTATGTAGAGGGCTTAGGGACATGATTCAGGACGAAGCATTTGCTTGAGGCTGTACGTTTCATTCTCAGTTCTTCAGGAGGAACAGGATGAAGGTGAAAGGCAAGAGAGGGCAGAGGAGAGAGAGAAACTGGAGGGAGAGGAAAGGGAAGAAGAAATTGCAGCTGCGAATGGCAGGAAATAGGAGAGCAGCAGATGAAGTCAGGGAGGGATGAGAAGGAGCGGAGGAGGAGTAGCAATAGGGACAAAGCAAGGCGCTGGCCACTCCCTAGGACAGCGAAGTCACAATGAGGCTGGAGCTGGGAGCATGCATTCACAGAATACATCTCAGTCCATGGTTGATTTACTTAAACATTGGTGATTGGAAGAGCATGCATGGTGGTGGTGGTTCTGCTGCTGGTGGTAGTGGTGGTCCCTGAATCTTGGATGGGGTGGAGGTTCATAAAACCACAGCAGGGAGAGGAGCCAGTACTCTGAGAATGGCTCACTTTAAAGTCAATTGAACAAAGCCACACTTGTTTCTTCTCTCCTTCATATGGCATGACTACCCTTATTGTATTCCGTTGATCCTGCTGTTCTATGTATGAATCACCTGATCCAAGCAGGAATAGCCCAGCCCCGAGAACTGAATCAGAGATGACTTGAGAAAGGCTCATTTGGAAGACTTTTGTTTTGACCTTCCAATCAAAGGCAGGATTTTTTTTATCCTTTCCCCTCCTGTTTTCCCAAAAATCGCAACCTGGAGTTTTACAGTGGAAGGCATGAGACGCTAAGCACCTTTAAGAACAGATGACTCAGGTCTTCCTTGATGCTCATGGAATAAGGAGACCACTGAAAAGTTAAAATACCGTAGGACTTCTGACTGACTTACCCAGACATCCCAAAGAAACCAGGGCATTCTCCCGGGGATCAATGTTCTTGTCGTAGGGGCGGTACCCGTAAAGATGGGCAGCGCTGTTCACCAGCCAGGTAGCGTTGAGCACTAAGGCATATCTCAGTAAAGTGGCAACAAAGAAACTGTGTAGGAAAGTTTCCCCACAGCAGTGCCAGGGCACCAGCGTGGGCAGGATGAAGCACATTAGCAGGATGCCAGGCTTGTAGTACCTGTGTGGAGAGATCACACACTGAGTCTACAGAGAGGACTCTGGTCCTATTCTTTATTGGCTATTCTCAGTGAGAGGGGCTGCTATCTTCCTCTTACAGTGTGAGTGCAAGGGTGGGGTGGGAGCCCTGGTGCAATCACTCTGGAAATCAGTTTGGTGGTTCCTCAGAAAATTGGACATAGCATTACCTGAGGACTCAGCTATACCACTCCTGGGCATATACCCAGAAGATGCTCCAACATATAACAAGGACATATGCTCCACTATGTTCATAGCAGCTTTATTTATAACAGCCAGAAGCTGGGAAGAACCCAGATGTCCGTCAACAGAGGAATGGATACAGAAAATGTGGTACATTTACACAATGGAGTATTACTCAGCTATTAAAAACAATGAATTCGAGAAACTCTTAGGCAAATGGATGGAACTAGAAAATATCATCCTGAGTGAGGTAACCCAATCACAAAAGAACACACATGGTATTTACTCACTGATAATTGGATATTAGTCCAAAAACTTGCAATATCCAAGATTCAACTCACAGACCACATGAAGCTCATGAAGAAGGAAGACCAAGTGAGGGTGCTTTGGTCCTTCTTAGGAGTAACAAAATACTCAAGGGAGCAAATATGGAGACAAAGTGTGAGACAGAAACTGAAGACTGTTCCACCTGGGTATCCATCCCATGTGCAGTCACCAAAGGTAGACGCTGATGTGGATGTCAGGAAGTGCATGCTGACAGGAGCCTGATATAGCTGTCTCCTTAGAGGTCTGCCAGAGTCTGACATATTCAGAGGCAGATGCTCACAGCTAACCATTGAACTGATCATAGGGTTCCCAATGGAGGAGTTAGAGAGAAGTCTGAAAGAGCTGAAAGGGTTTGTGGCCCCATGAGGAGAGCAACAATACCAACCAACCAGAGCTCCCAGAGTCTAAACCACCAGCCTGGGAGCACATAGGGAGGGACCCATGGCTCCGGCTGTATATGTAAGGGAGGATGGCCTTGTCGTGCATAGGTGGGAGAGGAGATCCTAGGTCTCATGAAGGCTGGATGCCGAGTGTGGGGGAACTCTAGGGTGGGGAGGTGGGAATGGGGGTGAGTGGGGGCACTTCCTCATAGAAGCAGGTGGGGGGGATGGGATGGGGGTTCCTGGGTGGGGGAGAAATGTGGTAAGGGGATTACATCTGAAATGTAAATAAAATATCCAATAAAAAAAAAGAACAAGGTGGAAATTCTCAGTACAGAGTGTTGTCATTTTCATGATAAGTCTGTGTTGAGCAGAGATTGTCCTAAATTAACACCACCAGTTAATAGAGCAAGAGCTCCCTTGTTCTTACTTACAGAGGGATGAGGTCAGTTACTCAACAAATCAGGACAAACCCCACTCTCAGCCAGTCTGTGCTGAGGTACCTGGCCTTGAGTGTCTTTTTCTCTTTGGGGATATAATGGGGTCTTTGGCATTTCTCCATTTTCTTCTAGCCTTTATCAGCAAGGCCCGTAGTGAAGGTCCTGACCACTGGCAGGTTCTGTCCTTCTGAAGGCTTTATCCCAGTCTCATTTCCACACAGAACAGACCACTGATCCTCTGAGAGAATGAATTGGTGTCCCTTCAGCAATAATGTCTTGAACTTTCCAATCACTGGCATGACCTCCGTCCAGCTTTCTCATTCTTGGCTCCTTCCCTAACGGGAGTCCTCACTGTTAGCATTTTGTCCAAACTCCACCCCACAGTTACTTGGCAATAGCCAGGTGTGCCTGACTCACTATAAAAAGGGCTGCTTGCCTCCCCCTTTCTTGCCTTTTTGCTCTCCCTTTGTCCTCTTGCCCCTTCCCCCTCTCTCCCAATCCCCCCCCCTGCCATGTGCTCATGGCCGACCTCTACTTCTCTTCTCTCTCTCTCTCTCTCTCTCTCTCTCTCTCTCTCTCTCTCTCTCTCCCTTCTCTGTCTCTACTACCCTCTTAACTACCCCCCCCATGCCCTGAATAAACTCTATTCTATACTATACTGTTGTGTGGCTGGTCGCTCAGGGGGAAGGGATGCCTCAGCATGGGCCCGCAGAAGTACCCCCTTCCCCCATACCTGACTGCACCTCCACCAAAACATATTCCTTCTCTTTATAAAACACAACGCTCTCCACTCGCTAACTCACGTCCTTCCTTCACCTCTCGGGCTCCATATCTTCTCCGCCTGACCTGACAGTGGCCTCTTGAAAGCACGGCTTTGTTTTTGTACCACCAGTTGTTGGAGAAATAAACTCATTGTCAACCACTTTGATCCTATCTGTGGCTAAGGCACTGCTAAGTCTATGTTACCGTTTTTCCTGTCATATCTTTTGTAGATTAAGGAAACAGACTGTTTCTGGGTCCCGCAGAAAGCTTTAACTCATTTTCCTATTTTTGTTCTGTACACACATCTTTCTTTCCATTGTTTCCGATGCTGTGTTTTCATTGGCCTTTCTTGTTCTCCCTGAGCGATCTCTGACCCTTTCTGCCTCTCACAGTACAGACAGTAGTTTGCTTTCCTTCATGGTATCTTTGGTATATGCTAAAATCTCCTGGAAAGTAAGAACTTAGTTGAGTTCACTGTGTTTATGAATATCGGCTACATTTAACTGGTTTAATGAAATCAGTTCAGATGGGGGAGGAGAGAGGGAGGGAGGAAGGGAGGGAAGGAGGGAGGGAGGGA